GTTACCAAAACATCCGGTGTTACAATCACTTCAAAAACCACCAGGCTACAACTTAAAGAGACCAAGAGGCAAAATTTAACTTTGTCTGATTCCATTATATACAAAAACATTTAAATTTCCTTGGATTACAACAACTGCACGGCGGCATTTTAATCTCCTATTATAGGAAGAAATTATTGTAATTTCCGTCGGTGTGAACAAATTGGCATCCAGGTGTTTTTGCTGCCACAAGGTGACGACAAATCCTGAGTAACGTCATTATCACTGCATCTCTTTGTGCTCCAGATTCCCTCATTTCCTCCTCGGGTCTCTTTTTAAATAATCCAATCCAACTTAAATAAAGTTGCAGTCATAAGACTTACATGAATAAACGGTGCTGGCTCTCCTGGTCTCTCGTGTTGCGTGCAGAACAGAAGCACAAAAGAACTTGATTATTTCCTCTCTTTGTTTGAAGGCGCTCTGTTTGGAAAGAGATTGGTTGTACCTGCTTCACACAGAGCACATCATTCCTATAAGAGAGGCAAATTAAAAACATCTTATCAAGCTGACTTCAATGCGTTTATATCTCTGCTCTAAAGCAGCCATTTTCTTTGAATCTTTCTTGTATTACTGGTTCTTTAGGCTCTCCGATGTTTGTTTTTGTGTTTGGGTTTGTTGACGTTTGTACTGGATTGTGTTTAACCACATTCTGCTGGGTAAATGTTTACAGTTCAATAAACTATTCTAATACCATACCACACTAATAAATTATTTACAGCTTAAAGTAACATTAATTTTGATAAGTTAAAATATACAAAACATGGCAAAATTACACATGAAACCTGATTTAAAAATCAGGAGAAAATAATTTGTTGATTAAACAAAATGTATTTATAAAACAAGTCAATCTGAAAACTTTGCGTCTTCAGTAATGTTTGTTAAAAACCCAGTTTGTCGGTCATTGTTGATATGAACAGAGCCAAAACGGCAGCAATATCTCTCTTTACTGCTCTCTTTTTCACTCAGCAGCATCGGTGAACGGACTCGGCATCAGAAGTTAAATACTTAAAGAACTAAACTGAATTAAATGCATCTGAATCGTGTCAGTATCTTTACTCACCAGCTCCAGTTTCATTACAAACGTGAGCAAGAATTTGTCGATATCCTGCTAACACAATTGCGCTGGTTCCATTAATTCCACACAATTAAAAATATGCGTGATAAGATAGTTCACACGATAAAAAGCATATTTTGCTATCATCCTCCAACCACTTCCTGTTGTCTTTGTCTTTTCTGCAAGTAGTAACATCTGGTTGATGGTCACATGACCTGTGTGATCCAAAAGAAACTGTTTCCATTGCATTTTAGCAAAATACACTACTTTCAATACTGCCAAATAAAACCTTATAATACTAGTAAAAATGTAATAAAACATTTGAGTTTTTTTGTAAATTGCTGTTTTCATTTAGCCGAACGCTCTGCTCTTCCTGTCTGATGCCTGTGAACATGGATGAGGTGTTCAGGTTTTTGTTGCTTAGTTATTCCTTGAGGCAGCATCTTATTCTTCCTGCTGGCTCGTCACGACCCTCAACGCATTGTTCCCTGTGATCACCGGAGAGCCGAGGCTTCCTGCCCGACAGCTCCTGATAGGTTTCTGCTTCATGTAGCTCTGCACAGCTCAGTGGAGGGTTTCTCTTTAGCTGATGAGAATAGATAATGTTGCAATTTAGGGGGAAAAAAGCAACAAAAAAAAACTTATGGCTAGATCACATGGAGCCAGAAAATGCATTTTCATGCAATTTGGCCTTTCAATAATTAATTAGAAAAACTCTAACCAAAAGTGGAGATTTAAGAAAACGGCCTGCGTTTGCATGTAAACAAAGATTTGGGGGTTTTACAGTCTGTGGCAACAAATAACGTGCTAATATTCTAATGCGCCATTTAAAAGTAGCTCCACAAACATGAACTCGCTGGCGCCATATTTAATTCCTGACTGTATGCTTTTTATCGTGTGAACTATCTTATCACGCATATTTTTAATTGTGTGGAATTAATGGAACCAGCGCAATTGTGTTAGCAGGATATTGTCAAATTCTTGCTCACGTTTGTAATGAAACTGGAACTGGTGAGTAAAGATACTGACACGATTCAGATGCATTTAATTCAGTTTAGTTCTTTAAGTATTTAACTTCTGATGCCGAGTCCGTTCACCGATGCTGCTGAGTGAAAAAGAGAGCAGCAAAGAGAGATATTGCTGCCGTGTTTTGGCTCTGTTCATATCAACAATGACCGACAAACTGGGTTTTTAACAAACATTACTGAAGACGCAAAGTTTTCAGATTGACTTATTTTATAAATACATTTTGTTTAGTCAACAAATTGTTGACGCTCTGATTGGCTGACAGGCTTCGGCTTTGCGTTACACTACATGTTTAAAACTATGACGCATTTGTGTCGGTTCATTTTTCTGAAACAGATTCTGTGTGTATAATGTTTTTTTTTTTTAATCAACATGGCAGAGATATTTGTTTTGTTATATACATTTTCTACATATAAAAAAATTATTCCACCCTATAATAATCACACAAAGCTCAACTTGACTTTTATACCAGCTCTTCTGCAGTTCTTAATCAAACTTCATTAATCCAAAGGAGTCGTTTGTTTTGTCTGTCTCTGACCTTCTGTTGAGGTTTATTTTTTTAATAAAGAAACATCTGCAGTGGTCTAAAGAAACAAGGAAATGTCTGGAACAGATTAAGATGTTTGTATAAAGAGAATGAACTGAAGATGCAGATATGCACCTTTGTTTAAAAATAATTGCATAATGTAAAAATCTTCAGGGCTATGATGTCATATTAGTTTCTGTATGGACTGAATGTTATTGAGAGTTAAAACACACCATTCTTTATTAAAAGGAATAAAGTTACTGCTTCAATTTGAGGGAACAGCACCATCTGCAGATAAGTAGATTAAATCACTGTAACCTTTAATACAGACTATTGATATAATGAAGGTGACTCCTCAACACTTCAGGTTTTCTAAATAAATCGTTGTGGCGCCGCCGTCATTGCAATCTCAGAGGTCTGATCCATTTTTGGTCCCTCGTCTTGAAATGTTTAATTCTTGGCTGATTAATCTTTCTTGGTGTCACCAAATTTTAAGAGTCCAGTTTTTATTATTATTTTTATTTCTGAAATGAGAGATTAGAAAAATAAATGCAGATGGAACTCAAAATGAATTATTAAATTACAGCGCCCTCTGGTGGTTCATAGAAAAATAGCTGGTCGTGTCGTTTAAACTAACAAAACAAAACAAAAGGCCCCACATACATTTCTGTGAAACGTCAGAAAGAGCAGGAGCTTCTTACACTGAGTTTATCCAGCAACTTTAACCACTTTTATTTATTGCTATAATTATTTGCTCAAAACATTTTCTGATGACAGTGAGTGAGACAGAGCAAACACTGGAGTCCAGCAGGGATGCGGGTCTGACCCGGTGGTCACCTCCCAGCTGCCCCCAGATGACACAACTCCTCGGCCGTCCGTCACTGAGCCGAGCCGGCATACTGCCGATCCTCATTTCAGCCACTTTTTGCAGTCATGACTCACACCATATGGCAATATGTGACAGGGGAAAAAGGTGGATTAATAAATCAATGGAGCTTTTTCTGCATTACTGCAAAAAACAAACACAGTATCATATCTGACAAAACACCTAAATCTCTTTCACTGAAGACCTCCAGGAGGGATCCAGATGCTTTGCTCCTGATCTATTGGAATCCTAAAAAGCCAAGATTGAGCTTGTGGTTTTACTACCAGACAGAAACTGTAACCAGCTGCAGTGTTGTGTGTTTTCAGTTTAATGGAGAAAACTGGACCAACATTCATAAACGCTCTGATTGTTCTCTGCATTGGTGTTTCTCAAAGTGCAAAGCCGTTTTTTCACAACCTGTTTTGTACTAAAACTGAACCTTTTTTATATTACAAGGTCATTCAGAGAGCGTTTAAAATAATAAATTTTTACCCTTGATTCATAATAAAAGCCCGTGATATGTAAAACTCTTGAAGCACCTTATTGTCAGCATGTCTGAGACCTTGGTGCAGAGAGCAGCTCCAGCCAGCAGCTCATATCCTTAACAGCAGCAGCAGGAAGAGTTCCTCTTGTCTGTTTAAACAAGGTGGTGAGAAATAATCTATTTCTGTTTTTCATTTTGCCAAACTTTCACTTGTGATTTTCATTTAGTTTTCTTATTTCAAGCAAACACGAGGGCATGATGATTACAATGAGTTCCATGATGAGGCCTCATAGCGCTCATCATGGCGCTCATCATGGCGCTCTAAAACTCAGTGCATTTCACTCTGAAACAACTGAGGTAAGTATCCATTAACCCATGTCTTCCAGAACAAGTCAGGCATGTGCTGAACTTGTTTGTTGCCGTTGAGTGTAAACATTCACATGCTCGAAGTTTCCAGGTGGGAAAGAGATTTTTAACTGTTGCTCTGATCCAATGAGGTTTGTCCCATTATCTGAAAACTCTTGAAATTGATCTCAGAATTTTCCCAAATGATTATGGAAACACAAAAAAAATCTTTTCATGTCTATTTCAGTGGTTGCACATGCATGTGATGGAAAAACGAATCCCATGAGTGTTTGTGTGTCATCCCCTCTTGAAACCAAGAGGCTGCAGAGATGACGGTAAAACCTGGCCTGTTTTAACTTAGCATAAAGTTAGAACAGGCCGGGTTTTAACCTATTTTAAAAACAGGGCTTCAACCCTGTTTTACATATTAAATCAGTAAGATATTGATTTAATATGTAAATCAGTAACATACTAATTTGCATTAAAGGTTAAAGGAATCTATAGCAGTTTAATTTATGAGAATTTCACCATGAGATAAACCAGGTCTTATTTTTTTACTCTTCCGTTTTTAAAGCAACTGAAACATTTTCAGTATGGAAATGTTTATATTTTTTATTTACTCTGTTGTTTAAAGAGCTAAATAAAGAAGCCAACTTAAATATCCAGTTTTTAGTTTTTATTGTTGAACAAATTACACAACATATTTCCAATTCACAATATAAACACTGCATGTTCTAAAGAATTACAACCGATCCCTGGTAACAAGCACAGGGCAACTATTCAAATATTTGCCAAAACAAGAATTGGCTTTTCAACTATTTTAACACATTAAATCCAATAAGGCAAGACAGAGAATTGACATTACTACTGATAGTAATGTTAGTAAAGACTTAAGGTCTTTTCCTATTCATTCACAGACATGTATTGATTAAACAACAAAGATACAATGGGTTTCTATCTAGAAATAGGAATGTAAAGTTAAAAACAAGTAGGTATATTCCAATCCTAAACAATACCTTGCCACCGACAAAGTTGGCTGTGCTCTATAAAACGTTAACTCAAAGTTCTTGAAAGAAAAGTCGGAAAAACATCAGAACAGACCAAGAAAGACTGAAAGCACAGAACTAGTTTCAGGTGGCCATTTTAATATTCTCCTCCTTCTTCCTCTCCCTCTCCTTCAATGGAATCTGTTCCGACCTCTTCATAATCCTTCTCCAATGCAGCCATGTCCTCCCTGGCCTCAGAGAACTCTCCCTCCTCCATGCCCTCACCCACATACCAATGAACGAAGGCACGCTTGGCGTACATCAGATCAAACTTGTGGTCGAGCCGAGCCCAGGCCTCTGCGATGGCCGTGGTGTTGCTCAACATGCACACAGCCCTCTGGACCTTGGCCATGTCTCCACCAGGAACCACAGTGGGAGGCTGGTAGTTGATGCCCACCTTGAAACCAGTGGGGCACCAGTCCACAAACTGGATGGTGCGCTTGGTTTTGATGTTGGCGATGGCAGCGTTGACGTCTTTGGGCACCACATCTCCACGGTACAAAAGGCAGCAGGCCATGTACTTGCCGTGGCGAGGGTCGCATTTCACCATCTGATTGGCTGGCTCAAAGCAAGCGTTGGTGATTTCAGCTACGGTCAGCTGCTCGTGGTAAGCCTTCTCAGCAGAGATGACAGGGGCATAAGTGACCAGAGGGAAGTGGATACGTGGATAAGGCACCAAGTTGGTCTGGAACTCGGTCAGATCCACGTTGAGCGCGCCATCGAAACGAAGAGAAGCCGTGATGGAGGACACGATCTGACTCATCAGTCTGTTCAGGTTGGTGTAGGTGGGGCGCTCAATGTCCAGGTTCCGACAGCAGATGTCGTAGATGGCCTCGTTGTCCACCATGAAGGCGCAGTCTGAGTGCTCCAGGGTGGTGTGGGTGGTCAGGATGGAGTTGTAAGGCTCCACCACGGCTGTGGACACCTGCGGAGCCGGGTAGACAGAGAACTCCAGCTTGGATTTCTTGCCGTAGTCGACAGACAGGCGCTCCATCAGGAGGGAGGTGAAGCCAGAACCAGTGCCTCCACCAAAGCTGTGGAAAACCAGGAAGCCCTGAAGGCCATTACACTGGTCAGCCTGGAAACAGAGAAGGGTTGTCAGAATCCACATCACACAAATTTACTTCGTCTTTTCCGATGATTTGAAATTGACTTCATTCCATGATCTTACCAGTTTGCGAATCCTATCCAACACAGGATCGATGATCTCCTTTCCGATGGTGTAGTGCCCACGCGCATAATTGTTGGCAGCGTCCTCCTTACCACTGATCAGCTGCTCAGGGTGGAATAGCTGGTGGTAGGTCCCAGTGCGCACCTCATCTATGGAGGGATGGAAAATATATAGTCACACATTAAATAAACTTTAATGAACACATATTCAAATCCTTGAAGTCAATTGCTTCATTCAATGCTCTCCAGCAAGAGGTGAGACTTACCAATGACAGTGGGCTCCAGGTCCACATACACGGCCCGGGGGACATGCTTTCCAGAACCGGTCTCACTGAAGAAGGTGTTGAAGGAATCGTCTCCTCTTCCTGCGGTCTTGTCACTCGGCATCAGACCGTCCGGCTGGATGCCATGTTCCAGGCAATACAGCTCCCAGCATGCATTGCCAATCTGGCATCCGGCCTGACCAATATGGATGGAAATACACTCACGCTGGACAGGAACAAAAGATTCATTTTAATATGGGACACAGATGAATCATGCCAGTTACACTGATAGAGAAGTAAAATGAAGCTCTTCGTCCAAACTGTGGCTGTAAGAGAGTTAAGAAATTAATTTTAAATTGCCTGTTAGCAGAACCAAACCGTTTGCCTTGAAAGACGAATGAGCCGTTATATTAGTTTATATCAGTTGAAGAAACTTCTAACTCAACACGGCAAAAAGAAAAAAAAAAAAGAAGAGAAAAGGCCGGAGTCAAAAGACAAGTTTTTCTAAAAGTGAAATTTGTTTTACTCCCAAAACATCAGGATATCCCGAAGAAAATAATCTGAGCAAATACTAAATGCGCGCCAAAGTCCTTTAATTTGGCTAACTGTCAACTGACAGGTAACTGCAGCAGTTAGCGGTTGGTCTGAGCACCGTTTAAACACCGTTTAAAAAACAAAGTCTCAGACCATTTTAGATACATTTATACACCAGGATTTAAAATATTTTCTCATAATGCCGTGGATAATAAATATCACCATGTTCAAATGAGCGTGAACATTTTGAGAGCTAAAATCGCAGTTTTCATTTCCCTTCCTGTGAAAAAAGGAAAATGAATAACTAAACAAAAGTTTAATTATTCTTACCATTTTCTCTTTTCCGGATGTGCGAGGACAAAGCAAAAAGCAATGAGCGATTTCCAGACGAGGAACCTTCGGGGAATCTCCAACACCAGAACCGTTAGTTGGTAGCGGTTTGGCGCTTATGTTGGCCGGGTCGCGCTTATGTTGGTCGGGTCATACCATTGTGTGACAGCTTAGGGATTGTATAAAGCTTAAATTTTACGTCTTTATTACAACTAGTACACATTTAGTATGACAAACAATATTTATAAAGTTAAGCAAATATTATCAGTGACCGCGGTAGATTCATTATGAATGAATAATAAAGTTGCATGAATCCCCCCTACATATGTTCCAGATGGTTTCGCCCCCACTGCATTGCCTGTACGCCCCAATACAATCCAGTAGGTGGCGGTAATGTGCCAGTCTAATAATGCACAGATTAAAATAACGGTCAAATTCCAGATGACTGATTAAAACACGTCTTAAAAATACAGAATACTTCTTCACTATAGCTCTCATTAACGTTAAAACCACTTATTTCCTGAAGAAAAAAAATCAAAACCAACTTTGAGACATTGGGTGCTGCATTTTTCTAATCTTTTTTTATATTTTTAAAGTATCTAGTGAGCTAAAAGCAACTTTACTGGCTTCCTTCCCTGCCTTGTTGTTCAATTTAAAAGATGGATGATAAATAAAAAAATAAATGGATGGATGAATGAATGACAGGTGGATGGAGCAACAAGTACAGTCTTCATGTTAAATCTCCACATTCAGAGAAACATCTGAGATTTTCTGGTTTTATTAATTTTTATTTCAACAGATTGGCAGGTTTTGAGAACATCTCTGTAAAAAAAAATAAAATAAAAATGGGCATGCAAAACCCAGGAGCTGAAGGGAACCAGAATGGATTTAGATGTAGTTCAGCCATTCAGATGGGTCTGAAGCATGGTCACATCAACACATTTTCTTCTTTCTGATCTTTATTTTCAGGTTGTCTGATCTCAAATCTTCCTCCAGCAGCGGCACCTCAGCTGAGCGAGTTGTAGAGATGCTGGAGCGAACCAGTCAGTACCAGAGTCGCTGCGCCACACTGTTTAACTCTCCCGCTGCTCACAGTACAAAATTTTAAAAACTGAAACTCAGAAATGAATCATTTTCAGCAGACTCTTTGTTGTAGAAATGGAAAATAAAAACCCAAAGAAGCTGCTGCGAGGAGCACCAGCAGGAAGACATCCTCTTCTTCTGGTCCTAACAGGAAGTAAAACACTGATAACCTAAAATAAAATATTTACAGCCACATGTAAACCCATCATAAAAATAAATTAATCAATAAATTAAAACAAGCTCAATTTCCATTTGTGTGATTTATTGTCTCTACCAAAAACTGAATCAAATCTTTCAGTCTCAATTAGCCATTTTTTGAAGGACAATTCATTAGATTATTTTTTTATGTTTTAAATTTCCGTTCCATTTAGTTTGGATATTTAAAACTTCTTCAACTTCCAGTTTTAAATGTTCATTAGAATTTAAAGTTTGATATTTGACAATGTGTTCATGCATTTTTTTAAATTGCCATAATATTAGTTGAAAATTGTATTAAAAGAATATTTTGGCTTATTGTAATAACTTATTGCCCAGCAAAATGTATGATCGACAAGACAATTTTACTGAATGATAAACTATCCCAAAATTTATTGCAATAAACCATAATATTCTTTTGAAGTCGTTTTCAAATATTATGGCAAAACAAAGAATGAACATATTCTCAAACTTTAAATTCTAATAAACACCTAACACTGGAAGATATTTTAAATATGAAAAATAAAAACAGAAATAAAACAAATGAATTTTGAAGTCTCTGTAAACAAAATTGTCCTTTAAAAAAAAGGTTTAGTTGAGACCAAAACTATTCATCTCGTTTTTGGTAGAAAGAAAAAATAAATCATGCAAATGGAAATTGAGTTCATTTTAATTCATTATGCAATTCATTTAGGAATTATTATGACAGACCAACAAGAGGTGTGGTCATCTTCTCCAATACCTGGGAATTATCCTTAAAAAAAAAAAAACAATCTGAGGATAAAGTACGACTGTTGCTGCTGACAGGTGCTGACTGGTGACCCTCCAGGTTAATAAAACACTGGGTGAGACCCTGACTTCCATCTATAGTTCCAGTCTTAAACCGGAAAGCTGTCTAAGCAATCTTTGGGCTGCTCTTGGTCCGATCCCTCACCGATTGCCACAGATTGTGGCAAACGGAGATGTCAAAGGCATGAAGCCTCTGATGCCTCCTAGGATCACTGGGATACTCAAACCCCTCCACCACGATAAGGTGGCAGCCCACGGAGGGGAAAAAGAAAACCAGAAACCGTTACGGCGCTCTGATGTTAAACCCAAGACCTCACTGTACTAACTGGTCTAAAATGGATCTCTTGAGTCAACTTGGTTCTGTTGGTTTATTCATGTTGCTTTACTTACTGACTGACATTGTACAATCTGAATTAGAAAGCTTTATTACATTTAGGGTCAAACTGGACATTGTGTAGGAGAATATCACGTTTAAATGAATGGATAGTATTGTCATAAACACAGATTTTTTTTTTCCCTCCATAGACGCTACACCTGGTCGGGCGTTCCGATTGGCTGTGGTTCCTTCCTGGAGGAGGACATTGGCTGACATGACCATCATCCGACCCTTCTCCGTCTTCTGCTGTCAACGTTTCCATGAACGTAGTAAGTTCTCCTGAACAGTTGCTCTGTGTTTCTGCTCCGTCTTCTCTCAGCTCCAGTCAGTCAGGGCAGATGGCTGCTGGTACTGAGCCCAGTTCTGGTTCTGCTGGAGGTTTCTTCCCGTTTGAGGGGAGTTCTCCCTCTCCACTGTTGCTACATGCGTGCTCAGTATGAGGGACTACTGTAAAGTCACCAACTCAACACAAGCGGCTTCCAGTCGCCCCCTGCTGCTCAGGAGGAGTGAATGCTGCAAGTAACGACTCCATGCAATCTGCTGGTCAAAAAAGGGTTTTGACCATAATTGTCAATAGAAAATTATGGGTCAATAGAGGTTTTTGCAATACAACTTACGTTGTATTAAACGCAGCGATTTCAAACATGGCGGTCCCACGGCCGACTCGTCCACTTCCACATCAGCAGCCAAACAAACCACCGCTGAGACGCCACGGTCGGTCGGTCCTGTGCTGCTCTGTTCAAACACATTAAAAATGGCTTCCATAACTTAATCAGGGGAAAAAAGAAACAACTTCGAATAAGGATTTCGAAAAATATCTTACCAAACAACAAACGCAGCGATTTCAAACATGGCGGTCTCGCTCCACCCTATCACGTTAAGGCCAGACTGGCAGGCCCAATCAACACGGAGACGATTTCAGGTGACTCTACAAGTGTTTAGTCTTTCAGGCTGGGCGTCTTGGGAGTTCGGAAAAGGCCATTTTTAAATCCGGGTTCCAGGTGGATGAATATCAAAACGCTGGTTTGGTGTCACCGTGTGGCCTGGCGCGAACTGGGTCTTTTTAAACTCTCACGTAGAAACGGCGTCATATTTCTATCCAGCGTGGCGCATGCGCCTCACGCTCACAACGCGCTCATTAAAACAAACATGGCGCCGTTCGGCAGTTACCAGATTTGGCAGCTTTCAGTCCAAACTCAAAGTAAAACCCGTAAAACCAGCCCAATTGCGAAAAGGAACAAAACACCCCAAATCTGAACATTTAATAAAACTCATGTTAACTGCACTATATATTTTATCCATGGTCCATCCCTAATATAATTTTATAGCATTTAGAGAAACAATAAAATTGTATATTTGGTTTACAATAAAGGACAGGAGAAAGTATTTCTAAGCTTTGAAAATGTACACAATCTAATACAGTTTTAGAATAATTTAGAGAAACAGCAGAAAAAAATTTCTATTATTGTTCATATATGTTTTATGTATTTTTGTGTAAAACTATATTAGGAGTATACTGGATTGTTCTTAGAAAAATGCACATTTTCAAAACTTAATTCTAATCTGCTACTCCAAATGCCCAACCTCTTAAGGAGAGGGAAGAATGCCAAATGACAATGGCTTATAAAAGAATTATTTAAATATGCCCATTTAAAACTCTTCACTTTCCATATATTTTTGATCCATATTTTAAAGGTGTTTATTCATAGATTTCTCATTAAAATGTACTATGAAGCTTTTTGAAATATGTTTTTCTTTATTTTTTGATTAATTTATGCAACTATAAGTCAATAGATCAAATGTTCAGCTTTGGGGGTAACAGAGCTTTAATAACTGGAGCTGAGGCCAAATTTTGTCTGGAGGTTTCGCCCTAAAATGAATTTATTCACCGAAAGCATTTTAGGAAGAAAGAAAATTGAACATAGTAACAAAGTAATTGAAACTGAAATCTGTTTATCTTTATTTCCATTTTCTTCAGACCACAACTGGTTTTGGCATCTGCCAAACATCATCATTCACAAAATTATTCAAACAGTTGTGCAATTTCAAAAGTTGTTTAGTAGACAACACAAAACAATAAGTCCACTCAGTTAGCTGTTAAAGCTTGGAAAAATAGATAACTTGCTTGAAAGTTTGCTGCAGCGTTTATTCCCCTTAAGTCCTCATATCAGATTTGCTTTTATCCTACCAAATCCAGACTTATTGTAACAATTCATAGAAACTGAAATAGCTTAGTACACTTACAGAACTTTTGCTGAAACTTTCTGATACCAAAATAGAAATCTGTTCAAGTTATTGCTAAACAGTAAGTATTCTGGCAGCTGGTTTGTTTTTTATCAAAAAGTTTACCTGCTGGTAAGTTAGTAAGTCTGTTCAATAGAAATTACTATTATTACAAGTCAACTTTTCTTACAGCTAGTTTTCAAAACCATAAAAAACATTCAAATGAAAACATGTTTGAAGAGCATCAGATTATCTTTGGCCCTGTGTGCCGAGGAACGTAGTCCTGAATATACATGTCGACGTACTGCAGGATGTGGTCAACGGCGCTGAGCAGAAGCACGTCAGTGTTCACGTCCACGTCCAGTTCTGATACGTAATTCTTCACTGGAACGATGTAGGAGGTGGACATGCCCAGAAGAGCTCCGGCTTTGTTCATCTGAAGACACACAACTCTTACATTTCAGTCCAAAATAAAGCAAACACAAAAGCTGTCTGAAATTAAACGTAATAAACTTAGCACAACTTTTGTTATTTATTGGATAAAAACTTAATTAAAATAAAAAATAACATAGAAAGATGTGGGTCCCTGGGTTGGAGCCACTTTTGGTTCCTTAACTTCAAACGTAAAATTATTTTACTAATGCAAACTGCAATACATTAATTGGTAGTCCTGAAAATCAGCAGGTATCAATTGGTGAATTGTAAGTTTAATACATCCCCTAGCCAATAACTCTAAACAAAATTTACTATAACTTTATAATATTTTAATATTGTTTATTTTGGCTGGACTATATGGTTGAAAAAAATCTAAATATAAGCATTTTATATCAGTTCAGAGATAATTACCAATTAGTTTTCTGTTTCAAATATCTGAAATAATAAAAAGTCTTTATAAGCAATAAAAATCTGGCAATGCAACCTTCCTTGTTGTATCCAGTTTTCCCTCAAAGCCATTATTTATTTTTAAGCCGTTATGAGCCACAGTGGCAAAACCATAAACTGCTGCTGCGCCAGTTACTCAACAGGTCGTTGCTAGGTAACCACACCTTACTCGACAAGTCGTTGCTAGGTAACCAAATAGTGAGCGTTAGTTGATGCCAGTAATCTTTCTTATCCGGCCTTGACAGCTTGAGCGGCTAATCTTTCCTACTTTTGTCTAACTCTCCCAGAATGCAGTGCAGTTCTGGATCAGAGTTCAATGAAAGTATTGATTATTCAGATTGATCCAAATTTATTGTGATATGTGTTGCTATGGATTTCTTGTCCAGCCCTATTGCTTACACTCATAAAAATCCAAAAATTCGGGCCTCATTTGGACCAACGAGCTAAGAGAAAGTGTAAAAGCCGACTTTAGATGACACTTTTCCACCCACCGTCTCTCGAACGCTCAGGCTCTTGTAAACATTGCTCACATCTTTAGCCGTCTCTGGACAAATTTGGTCAACGTGGGTCAGCAGAGCCACTTGGTGAACCCCTAAAACAAACAAAAATAATAATAATTCAATAAGGTAATTTAAAATCCTAACTTTGGGGGGAAAATGCCTGATAAAATTATGCATTCTTGTACATTGATTCAACTTGCAGAAAATGAGACTAAGAAAGCAATTTACCTATTAAAGCTACATGCAAAACAGTGATTAACTTACATTATTTATGCCTCCTTTGTGTCTGTCTGCGTTTGCTCACCCAGCTCGCTGATGTACTCTCGCAGCTGTTTGAAGGTGGAGCCGAAGCCTTTGTGGTAGGATGAGATTTTTGAGGCGTCCACCACAAAGGCCACACAGTGGATTCTGTCCCTGAGGCTGGGCGTCTTCATGTACCCCGCCGTTTCTGTGCCAACTGGTTGATCCGGACTGAACTGAGGACAGGCAAGTTCAAAGATCAAGCTTCAAACATTAAACTGTGATGGAAAGAATATACAAAGAGTCTCCCCTGTAAGTGTGAGAAATATGTGTTCAGAAGATTTTTAAAAATCAGATATAATCCTCCCACCTTGTGCCCTTCAGGAACATGGCCTTTAATCACAGACAGGATGTCGTGTAGAGTCAACCCGGTCGTCTCTCCGTCGCCGAGGCCCATGATGTCACACAGCACCAGTCCAGTGTTGTCCTCCCCCTTCTGACCACGGATGTTGAAGGACTGTAGCTGACAAAATTGGTCAAAGTTAATTATGTAAAGCTAATGAGCAAAACTTGTCCACAAGAGAGAGGAGGGACAAATTAAAATGAATAAATAAATAAATAAACCTGCATTTATGAAAATAAGTGAGAAATAAAGGCCTTCGATCTGCAGAGTGGAGAGTTGAATGTTGTGGACAGCAGAAAGAAAACCGGTTGCTTTGTTTAAAGTCACTGCATTAAGCTTCCTTGAACACGTTAAGACAGCGATACAGAGCATGTTCATCACATTTTTTTTTTCCAAACAACCATTCTTGGATACTGAAATTTTAGTTCTGTCTCTTTGAGTTCTTTCAGTTCCTCCTGTCACTTTAAATCCGAATAAGCTGCTGCTGGCCACGCCCCCAACTCAACGTTGAAATGGCTGCAACCCGATGCATAATTATACAACTGTACATCGTTGGAAAGCAAAAGTGGAGCCTCCGGCACAGCCAACAAGAATGCAGCAGGTGGTTTTTAGATGGTAAGTTGACAACAAAAACACTCGTCTTTTCCAGCAGCCATTGTACAGCCCATACAGCGGTAAAACCAGCTGACCAAACGTCCTGAAGCTCTGCTTGGGTTGGTGGTGACGAGCTGGGCTTTGCTTGGGTTGCTAGGTAATGGGGCAGCGCCTGCTGATTTGTGACGTTACAGTTAGAAGGTTTTTGAACTGGGTAGTTTTCCTGACAACAAGAAAATACCAACTTTTTCCTAAAAAGCACCTGTATGTTTTTTTCAAACAGCTTGGGTTGTTTTTAGAAACAGTTGAGACCCAAATGGAAGAACAAAAATGAGCAAAATGTTAATTTACCAGAATAACTCTCCTTTAAAAAACATTTTCAACACAAATGTGTCACTTGTTCAATGAACCAAAACAATGGGGAGGTGGAAGAGACTAATTGAGGCAGACTTTGAATGTGGAGGTGTAACGTGTCATGGAACAACACAAAGTACAAAAAGATTCATGGTTTAAATTTTTTAAAAAGATACATCTTCTATTTTATCAGCACTGTGTTCATCAGGCGTGAGGAAGTGTTCGCTGCTGATCAACCGTTACCTTCTTAGTGAAGCTGGTGTTGAAGGAGGAGCCCACCATGGCACGGTTCGTCACTCTCCCATTAAACACAGACTGGACTGAACTGATGAAACTGGACTTTCCAGAACGAACCGGTCCGAGGAGGAGAACCCGGGCCTGAGGCATATCCTTACAGCTGGGCTTGTAGGAGCTAACAGCCTTCATCAGGCTTTTCTTTTGCCTTTAATTTAAAGATGAAAGGATCAGAAGAAGATTGAATCAACATTCATCTGCTGGAAAATGGAGAATAAATGTACTCACTCTTCGGTCCACTGAACATCTCTCCACTGAGATTCCAGCTTTGACTGAAATCCTGTGAAAACTTAATCAGTTAAAAATCATTAACTACCAGTTCAATCATAGCTGTCCTAAAAATACATAAAAGTAAATGTGATATCTAATATTTCAAAAGCTGCAAAAGTGTGTAAACAAATGACCATGTCAAGATATGATAATGCTTCTTTAATGAACTTTAACTTCTTGTATATGTTGTTATTTTAGCTTTGTCAAACTTGAAACAGGCTAAATATCATGTTTTTTATCTTCACTGTTTTCTCAAACTTTCAGTTGACTTTGATTGAGAGGGTTTTAAATCAAAGAAACTTAAAAACCAAAAACTGCACATTTACTCAAAAGCTTTAGCAAATAACTTCGGTTTATTTCCAAAGCACATATACAATATTTGGTTTCTAGGAGTTGTGTTTACCGTCCATAAAAACCCAAGAAAGTGAAGCAGATTTTAACATAAATCTGTAAATTTAGTGGTAGAGTTGTGTTTTTTAAACTTTATAGCAGCTAGTAGTTTACCTGGGATTCCTACAGGTTTTTCCTTCTTTTTCTCTTTCGTGCTGTCATTTTGTAACTGATTGGAAAGAGTGAAGCTGGATGAGGTCAAAGTAAAAGGAGGAGGCGAAGGATTGCTTAGAGGTACAAAGGAGGAGGAGCTGATGGCACTTCCAAACGAGAAACCCACACTAAAGAAAGAAAATATGTGTCAGACTATACACTGAAAAACAAAACAACAAATTTCTAAAATCTAGACTTCTTGAGTAGTTCAACCCAAACTTTTGTCAAAAACCATGTTTTTGACAAAAAATGTAATTTCCCATCCTCTCCTTTAAGTAGGTCAGAATACGAAATATGAATTGGAAGTACAATAATTTGCAAATGTATTTAAAAAGGAGCTTCCATAAAGGCATGGCTGTGTGCAAGAGCACAAAACATTACGCTACTCAATAGAACTGGGCTCACAATGTTGACGACCTACTAGGATTAATAAAATACATGTCAAGCTTCAGAGCAAACGTAAGTAATCTGAACTCAACAAAGAGAGACCAGAAAACATGGGATGGAAAATAACTAGTTTTTCTAACTATTGAAAAAAGCATGATGCTGTGCATTGACACCTTTATTATTCTATATTTTTATAATTTTGGCCACCTAATGTAAAAACCTATAACCATGCAGAAATTTGTATCCATGTGAATTTAGAAAAGTGTGACAATTGCCTGCTTTATATTTTATATGATGTTAAACACTTTGAAATGCCTTGTTGCTGAAATGTACTATACAAGTTAAATTTGATTGATTTGATTGACTATAAATTATGGCAACAAAGTGACAGTTCATATAATTGAATGGATGTTGAAGGAATTTAACTTTAAGCAAAAATAATTGATTTAATTACGTCTGTGTGGGGCAATTCCTGGAGCAGAAGTGCAAAATTAAGACACTATCATACAGTAAAATTATATTATTCAATATTGTTTACCTTACTGATAAAATATAATTACGCTGATAGCATAATTACTTTTATAAAAAGCATAATTTTACTTTTTATACAAAAAGTAAAATTCAATTGATGAATTATATTTTTTATAAAATCAACATAACATACCAAACTACACACAGTCACTTATTATGATTAGGCTAGTAGTATTTTATCTGGTAAATATTAACTTAGCCCAGTCACATTTTGAGTGCAGAGGAGTAAGAAGTAGTAGGACGTTCCCAATTTGATTTGATCAAGAATATATTAAAATGCTTCAGGTAATAAGTTCATTTGCTTTGTTGTAATTTATGCTGCCTGTTTCTGCTGTCCATGGGTTTGTATTTTATAGCTCCTTATTCCTGATTTGTTTATGAAAGCGTTTCCTTTTAATGAACACAGCTGTGTCACATTGTTAATTTACTCTCACTGTGTTTATTCCCAGGATTTTCCTTTCAAGGCTCATCAATCCTGGCTGTTATCCTTTCTGTGTTGTCTCCTCATCCTGCTGGGTTTTTAACTATTGCTACAATATTAGTTACTTTAACGTAAACAAAAGTGCATAAAATTCTGATTGGTGGTGCTTATATCTGTTGGCACATACATGCATTTAAATAAACGAGTCAGTTATGATCACTTTAACACAATTTAAATTTTCCATTATTATTGGATACAGAACTCTGTGTACTGCTGCTAAAGAGAAACTGTCAAGCCAGCAGTCTTCCAACAATTTTTTTTATGTTAATTACAACATAATGTCTTAATTAAGACTAATAGTTTTACATTGCACCGTTTGAGAAACTGCAGTTTTTGTTATTTTTCTGTAAGCCATAAACTCATAAGTTAACACGTCTCAATTTCACTTTTTTTAATCGAATTACTAAAATAAATGAACTTTTCCAACATATTCTAGATCGTTTATAAGGATCTTTTCTGCTGTCACTTCCACACCCAGTTTTTACAGAAACCCATCAAGCCAAGTAGGTCAAAAAGTGCAGAAGCTTCCTGCAGAAATGTTAAAGCAAGTAAATCAAATTATTCATGTACTTCTTGCAACAGAAACTCTGTATACCTGGGTTTGTCTTCGCTTTTTTTCTCCATAGTGGCCTTTGGGAGCAGACGTCGCAGAGCTCAGCAGATGAGTTGACAGACGAAACTTAAATTTCTCCGTTTAACCAAGAAACGAAAGTGAAACCGAGAATTTCATAAACCCACACAGCTGAGTGGAGGAGCAAGCAATCCATTTACACAGACGTTTGTTCTTAAAGTGAAACTCATCCCCAAATTAACTTTTTTTTTAACTTTAATTTCCCAAATATGTTATTTGAAAATCTATGTTTATGATTCTGTGTGAATTCGGACATTGTGCAATTCTTTTAATTCGGCATTAGTTTGCATAAAATCGTCCCACTACTGGCCTCTCTGGTCAAACGGAAGCTGTTGCATGTTTTTGTTTACACCCGGAAGTCTCTCGCATGCGCACAACGCTGAAGGGCAAAAGTCGGCGATTCCTTTACATGCCATCCGCGGTAGAGCATCGCCGTTCACAAAATAAATCCTGAAGATGTGGGGGTTATTAATTTAGTGCAGTACGCGACTGTAAAGGGAAAATAATACCGAAAAAACATTTAATTTAATTTATTAATTTAAAACCACTCTTATTCTTAGCTAGCGCTTTGGGTCGTTCCCATAGCAACAAGGAACACGCAAACATTTCCCACACAAAGATCAGAACATTCGGTCCGTTAAAGCTTCATGTTTTCAGGCTTGAAATTTGTTGTGATCGCTCATCCTCCACTCGGCCGTGTTTCTTGTCTTGCCCTTAGCTTAGCCCCTGCGGCATGAAGTGACCCGATCTCGATTTGTTTTTGCCTTAATGCGACCCGTATCTGAAAGTCTAATGACAGTCTGAGCAACACAGATCGACCCAGGCGACTTGGACACGTGGTCGGAAAGTCGATGTGAGATATTTTTATGTGACCTGAACGTGATTGATAAACGTCGACATACGTCACTATTCTGCCTACTGATAAACACAAGCGGGAAGAAAAACAACAACAACCTTAATGTGGACTAAGTTTGTTAATGTACTGGTTCAGGTCGACAACCTCAAAATCGTAAGATATGCCCCATCATTAGCATTTACTTCCGTAAACACAGAGCACTTCTTCTTTTTTTAAAATGACGGTTGGCTAAACAGTGAGCACGGGCTCTGGTTTTTGAGCCATCTACTGCGCATGCGGGACATTTTCAGGTCGTTTGCGGTTAAAACTGGAGATCATGTTTGTCGCATATATTTGGAAGTGTGAAGGGCCACGCCAAAAAAAAAGAAGTCTGATTTCACTTCAGGCTGCAGTGTAAATGTAGTCTAAGTTACACTTTCGAATCAGAATCAGAGTTCCTTTTAATATCATTTAATGTTTTAAATGGGCGATATTATATTCAAGGTTCAGAATTAGACATTTCCCCTCCTTGACAGCAGGGGGTGCTATGGAGAACTGAGCGAACCGTTCGGTCCATTGCAGCGAATATTTCAGATATTTACAGAATATGCATATTTGTTTCGGGAATTAATTCACCTTAACTTCTAGAGTTAAGGAGAATTAACCCATTTTACACCTCATGCTTATTATGGCAACAAACTTGATGAGCAGGCTGTTTTATCCCTGTTTGTCAATAGTTTCCTGGATCTAATATTGTTAGAAGAAATTAGACAACTTTTTTTTATTGAGAAAACGTTTATTTACAAATAGACAAAAAAAAAAAAAAAAAAAACGAGGAACAGAACACACTTCTATGAAAAATGCCTCGTACAAAAAGACAGAAAGCAGATATTAGAGACATTATGGTAAGTTAAAACAACCAATGACCTGCATTAGTCATATCTGTTCACAGCTTTTTTGTTTGTTGTGTTGAAAATAGTGGGTAATAATAGTTTGATTTCCTTAATTAAAACTCGAAAAAAGGGTGAAAAATGATGAACATTTACATTCATCATTGTCTTCCGCAAAATAATATGCTCACGTTTTAGTGAAAATATTACAAATTATAAACTTAGAAAGCAAACAACTTTGAATGTTTAAATCCGCTAGAGGGCGCTCCAGGTTCAAATTTGAAGCCAATGAGCTTTACCTGCTGATTAACAGCAGGGGTCAACTTGTGCGTTTATTATTTTTTTTTTTTTACTCTTTTCAGGACGGCCTTGTTACCAAATAAGAGAAATTTTCTTCCACTACAGTCTGCCCTGCTGCACTCTCACCTTCATCAATCAGCAGCTTTTAATAACCTCAGGATATTCTATACTGCATGTCCATCTGCTAATGTTGGTGCTGACTGGTAGACCTTGGGAAAGAAACTTTCATTGTGTGTGTGTTTGTCCTGAAGCTTCACTTATTTCACCCATAAGCTCGGTCTGATCCATAAAATTAGTCCTCAGTTTCAAACAGGACATGTTTTATTTGTGGTGTTATGGGGGAGTTTGACATGTTCTTGCTGGAGTATTGCACAGAAATGTTTTCAAAATGCTTTAATAAAAGAGGTTTAATGACGGCTTCTACCCAGAAGACGTCAGTTCAAAATACAAACAAACAAGAAAAAATTAGAGTTTTATTCCAAAATAGTTCAGGTTGGAAACATTCACAATGGATTTTCACATTGTTTCATGCATTAAAAATTTAAATGGGTTGAAATATATATAAAATATAAATTTCCAAAACAGGCAGTTGAATGGAATGAAACTTGTACTTGTAATTAGTAGCATAGATTTTACATAATTTCTGTATTATAAATAAACAAATAGCAGCAGGTAGATGCTCTACTTTAAGATTACGGTAGTTATTTAAAACTATGCTAAAAGTTTGATGATTATTCCTTTATTGTTATGCAGCTCCAGCTATTAACAGATTTGCTCTGGTAATGTCTGTAAAATGTTGGAAGACCTACATTTTATGATTGTCTCTATCGTTTTTATGAGCTCTGGTGCTGATCGGAAACAAGTGCAGACGGCCACACTGAAACTAAGAACCATTTGCAGAAAGAAAATCCTTTTCGGGGTCATCTCTAAAGTCTTGGCTGTTATGATTTGTTTGACCCTGACTGAGGTCATGATGAACTTCTGCTTTGTCAGCAGATATGAACTGAAACCCAAACTTTCATTGGGTTCTAGTTCAGAAGTATTTCAAGACCTTGTTTGTGAAATAAAAATCTAAAGTGGTTGTGTCTTTGTTCCTAAAGCCTCAAAGAAGTCAACATTGAGTTTGGAGCTGCTTCGTCATTCGAGGTCCTCGCCTCAAACTGAAATTCAGCCTCCAGCCTTGTGGTCGTGACTCAGTGTCATTTTAAGTTGGTACAAGTGCCAATTATGCAAAGGCAGCGTCTGCAGCCTGTTATCTGTGGATGGAAGAGGTTGTTTCGCAAACACCCCAATGCGCCAACAACAAGGTCATGATTTCATCGAGCTGCAACCTGAACATTGAATTCAGGTGTTTATAAATGCGTGTAATGTTCACCTTACACGCATTTAGCATGTTTACCATTAAGGTTTCTGATGTGGTTTGAGTTTTTTTAGCTGATGTGATAATTTTCTCAACGGCACAAAGAGGAGCTGCTTGTTTTGTTTTAACATTTTCATGAATAAAAATTAAACCGTGGACATTTACACATTTGCGTTCTGTTAAATTTAATTAGTGTTTATGTCTTAAGAGTTTGGGCCGTTTTTAGAAGCAGTAGAAACACAAAAGTTCAAAAATTTGTAAAGCATAAATTTTCCCTTTTAAGTCCATATCACTGACCTCTAGTCAATTATTCCAAGTTCCTCAAATGACCTTTGGATCCTCCCAGTTTAAATGAATTATTTGATGAAGTTTTATTTAAAGATACTAAGATCGAAACAGAGATGTTCCATATTGACCCTCCAGCCACGTTCTGTCAATGTGTGATCCAAATTACGAAATAGGCCAGGAAATTCACCGCCAAATGTCAGCCAGCAGTTACATAACCATTAGGGCAGAGGTCACTCTGTTTACCTGTTTACTCTGGTAATTTCTCAGTTTCATAGGAGCGTCAGTGATCGGCGGATGGCTAACACGTTTCCAGCAGCTCGTCTTCATCATCTGAGGAGTTCAGCCGGTTTAGGCAGCTTTGACTCAGCAGCCGCTAACAATATCCATGGAGAGAGAGGAGGAGGAGGGTGAAGGTCTAAACAGGGAGTCATCCCGGCTATTCAGCCGTGTGACACAGCAGTCTGTTTCTAAAGCAGAACCTCCCCCACACACCTTCAGCCCTACACTGCATCCCGACCAGCCACATTAGATGACACACATTGACTCAAGTTCTCTCTCTGTCTGACTGAAAGCTTGCCAGTGGCCCCGGTAACCCGAAGTGCAGCGAGGGTGAAAATAAAAGCGCTGCGGAGATCTGGATGGAACAGGTCGGAGCCATGGCTAGGGCTCTCAGAATAACAACTCACAAACAGACGCCGCTGCTCTAATGCTGTTTACTTCACAGCCAGAGGAGCAACAGATGTATCCGATCAAGGAATCAAACAAAGAAGTAGATTCATAGGTGAAAATTAACCAGAAATTTCAACAAAACTCAGATAAAAAGTTATCCATCGCATTTTATGAGTTTGCTTTCACCAATTATAAGATGGCAGTTTTTCTTTAATTTTGCTTTCAAGGAACTGAACTCAGACATGTTCTTGTAATCGTTAAAGCAGCTCACTTCAGGAGTTCTGCAGGTTTTTTAAAGCGACAGCTCTGCAAAACCACAAAGGTGGATCTTCTTTCATCTGATTATTTCTTTAAGTATTTATCAATTATCCCACAAAGTGAGAATTGCCTTGTTGCTACACTACAAAAACACAAAATCTTGGAAAGTATTTTAGGTCCAGTTTCTAGTGAAAATACCTCAGTATATTTGAAATAAGACAAAACTAACACGTTGCTTTTCAGCTAGAAATAGAAGCTTGTTTTAAGTCAGTAATTCCTTTGCATTGATGACTATTTCATTTACAACATTGGAAAAATGTCTTGTTATAATTGAAATGATCTGCCGGTCGAAGTGCTGACCAAACATTCTGGAACTTCAGAATGCTTGGTCAGCACTCTGAAGTTGCTAGGTAACTGACTGGGCTCGGTTGGGGTTGCTAGGTAATAAATAAACAACAGGGAGGTTTTTGAAATGGCTTGTTTTCCAAACGCCACAAAACATTAACTTACTGGATGTTTTTTAGAAGCAGTTGATGCCCAAATGGAAGAATAGCAAATGTGTAAAATGTGAATTTTGCATGATAAGTCCACTTTAAAAAGATGTTTTGAAAACCTGGAGAACATTTTTTTGACAGACTGAAGAAGAGTCTGGCTCCCTGGAAGCAAAGAGGGATAACTCAAAATGTTTGCAGTTTCATATCTCAAATAAATTTTCTTCAAGTAAGCATAAAAAGCAAACAGCCTGAAGTTGCCCGTCAGCTGACAACACACAAAGGGGAACTTCTTCTTCTGCAAGTTTGATGTTTTATGAATCTCAGAATAAAGCAGCAGAGTTGGAGCGTTTCCTGAGGGCCTCTGCAGATGTCAGCGTG